CTATTCTCATAAATGATAAATCTTTCTTGAAGTTTCCTTTTTAGCCTCAGTTGAAATCTAAAGAATTAAATTTTCTGATTTTAGAAAGCAAAATAGTGTGGTTTACTTCTAATAGACATTAGAATGATTTTTAGTCGATACATTTTTCCGAAAAAACAATCGAAACGGCCATTTTGACATAGTTGTAAACAAAAGTTAATTTTCACTTTTAAAAATCTTGCAAAAATAAAATATATATTTTTGAAACATTATTTACGGAAAATTAGCATATTTAAAGTTAATTAATCTGTTCTGAAACAAATATTACTTACTCATGGCATAAAATTTGCTATACAACATTTCTTGAGCACGGGATCTTGCTATTCTCACGTCTCCATCGATATATCGACGGCCGAAGGCGATGACAGGTTGAGTATGGTGGGCGAGAATTGACATATATTTACGAATTCTTTTGGTTTTTTGGGGTTTTTTTAACTACCAGGTCATTTTTTTAAAAATTAACAAAATATTTTATGCAATAATTTAAAATTTTATTGAAATTTTGTTAAGCAATTAACCTTACGACCGTAAAGCTCTCTGAAAATATAATAAAATGTAAAATACTATAGAAATTTCTGAAATCAATAACATTTCATAAATTATTGGGTTACTCTAAGATTTTATTAAACCTGTCTACCGCGTTCGAAGTGTCGGTTAATTTTTTTGCGTTTTGAAATTTTTTGTTACAGATCGGATTAATTTAATTTTAAATTTGCTTTTTTTTCTCAAATAACGTTTCAGAAAAATATATTGTATTTTGCAAAATTTTAAAAAAACAGAAATAACTACTGCTTGCAAAAAATTGCAAGATTTTGTATCGCTTTACTGACAAGAACACAAAAAATTCTAATCAATATAAATTTCTGTTTTAAATACACCAGAGTATATTGCTTTCAGTAAATAGTAAAAAATTATTTTTTAATCCTTTAGCTTTTTAATTAAATTCATTTTTAAATCTTAGGTATCGAAAATTAATGAAGGTACCGACCACAATTAAAAATAAAATGAGAAAATGAAATGAATTTCAAATGTAAATGAAATAATGTATAAAAATTATTAAACTAATCATTAAATTTAAAATAACATAAAGAGTTACCTTTCAAATGTTTTTTTTTAATTTAACTCACAAAATGAATAAAGAAACTTTTAAAAATAAATAAAAACGACTTATTTTTCTTAACTAAGTAAAACTAAAAGGTTTTTAAGCGTAAGACGGAAAATATTCTTCACTAAATAACTTAATAACCTAACTTTGCCGGTGTTTGGATGAATTTTAAAACATTTTTGAAACTATAATTAAAAAAGAAAAATGCAAACAATTCTTTTAATAATTCATTATTCATTGAAAAACTTTTTTTTTCTTTAGACTATAATGTCCTTAATATATATCATTTATAAAACAAAAAAATCATATCTAATTTAATAATTATATAGTTTTATTGTTGATTTTATTTTGCGATTGGGAGAAGATTTCATGGAATAATGGATAATATTTTGAAAAAAAAAATTGATGGGTTACATTTTCCAAGGTGTCCTGCTTTTAACTAATAAAGCACATTTCTCTAACGATTTTAAATTTTAGAAAATTTTATCAAATTAAGTAAGGGAGATTAACAGATAAAAAATATTTTTATCAAAATTATCTAAAAATAATAATTTCAAAAATAAGATCAATTATTTGTGAATAATTTCTGAAAGATTCATTAAAATTCGACAATTATTTGATTTTTTCAAGAATTTCTAAATTATTCTATTATTTTACCCGAAATGGCGGCGCGAAAATGTCCATTACCAGCTCTGTTATACCGTCGACACACAAAAAAAGCACGAATTTTAACCCAAATTTCGAACGTATTAAAAAGGAGTAATTTTTCTTTTAAATAATTAAAATTACTATAGTCTTTTCTCTTAATAATAACAAACATTTTGAGGATAAAAATTTGTTTTCATTTAGTTTTGGGCATTTTTCATCATGGTATGCGCTTTTTCAGCGAATTACTGGATGTACCTAATTTACATAGAAAACTGGCCCCACCTACTTCTTAAACCGTAGAAAAAAAAATTAAATTATCTAGAAAATCTTATTTTGAATCTTCATGATCAATAGTGATATGAAACATAAATATTGTAAAAATATTCTTTGCGATAGCGTTTCAATAGAAAACCAGATGTATTTTACTTCATCATTATTAGAAAATAATTATTCCCAAATTTCATAAACAATGATATTGTTTTATTCTCTTCTCTCAGAATATGAAACTCAATTTTCAATTATCAATCTTCATCGTCATTTATTGTTTATTTTTTAGTTTATTCCAGATGCTATTTTTATTGTTATTACTGAAATACTTTTTGAGTGCTAAATTTATTTCGGAGAGACTTTATTTTTTCAGTATTTTTAAGATTAACTATATATGATACCACATTTATTTAATCACACGACTTTTTAACGAATTTCAAATTAAAATTATAGGGTTGGTGGTTTTTCAATACCTTTATATATTTTAATAAGGCGAGGTACAAATTCAGTTTAACAATAAAAAACAGAAAAGATAGTTATAGTTCTAATCCTAAACCAAGGCCTCTATCCGTTGCATTTTCTTAACTATTTATTTATATATTTACACACATACAATATCTGTACACATAAGCTGTGAGCACATAGGTATCAACATTGGATTAAGCCAATCAGTTTCATGCTTAAACAAAATCGGTAGACTGACAATTGAGTTTAGACATGAAAGTGACTGTCATCAACTAATGATTACACTATCAATATCTTTTCTCCCTTAAATATAAAACTATCTATCACTCCATACATCATTCTGTATTTGGGCAACAATCCTCTTTTGTACAAATTTCATTAAAGTCAATCGACGAGACACTGCGATTAGGCTTTTTAATAATTTTTCTTGCATTCGTAAAAGTGATTTCTTTTTCTATACAAAATGTGTATTGGACAGTTTTTACACACCATATTCAGAAAATCATTAGAAAGATTAATAAAAACTTAATCTCAGTGCATTATCAATCGTCTTCAATGAAAGTATATATATATATATATATATATATATATATATATATATATATATATATATGCGTAATTGTGTGATATAAAAGCCGGCAAATTCGTTCATTTTTCCCCATTTCCAAACGATATCAACATGGATTTTCGAAAATAAAAAACATTCATACTTTCAAATATGTTACAAAAAAAGACAGAATAAGTGAAATAAGGGGGATTTGAAATATTGAGTTATGTAAAATTCAATATTCATTAACTGATATATATCGCGTGAATAAACTGGGATTGAACCAAATCAATATTTCCAGCGTTGGTAAACTACGATTGAACCAAATCAGTCTTTGGCTTGTAAGCAAACTAGGATTTAACCAAATCAATATTTGCCGCGCAAGCAAACTAATTATAACCAAATCAGTATTTGACGCGTAAGCAAACCAGGATTTAACCAAATCAATTACCTTTATTTAATAAAGTGCTAATCCGCCATGGACCTCAACTGTTCTTAATCATATTTTTCTTATAAACGTTAAAAATAAATTATACCTTGCGACAGGTACACAAAAGTTTTACAATTTTACTTACAACAATTTGAATTTAATTTAACCTATATTTGCTGCTTCGATCAACGAGGACTACATATATATATGTGTGTGTGTGTGTTGCGTGTGTAGTCTTCGTTGAAGCAATCGGATGTCTAGGCAAACTGATGATCCGTGATACAGCGAAACAGGCCTGTATGTGGATGAGTATATATATATATATATATATATATATATATATATATATATATATATATATATATATATATAGTGATTTTCCAAGCGTAACTTAGATGTGGCACAAGGCCGAAATTAGGGGCACCAAGTGAGGATATATATATATATATATATATATATATATATATATATATATATATATATATATATATATATATATATGTATGTATGTATGTATATATATATGTATGTATATAACAATTACTAAGTTCAGGTTAATGTAAACCAACATCAGGAAACAGGCCTGTATATGGATGACTATATATATATATATATATATATATATGTGTGTGTGTGTGTGTGTGTGTGTGTGTGTGTGCGTGTGTGTGTGTGTGTGTGTGTATAACAGTTACTAAGTTCAGGTTAATGTAAACCAACATTAAATAGGAGTAGAGACTTGGGTTCGGTATGAAGATTCTATAAAGCCAGATTTTTTTTTTTTAAATAAGGTCTTGTATATTTTTAAAAACTTCAGTTGAACCCTTGCTTTTAAATTTGTTTTGGTACACACTGATCTCTGGAGCCGGGCAGTAACCAGGGGTAAAGACATTCATAGCAAATAAGATCTTTTGTTTAAGTTTTATTTAGAAGTCCCGGACGTTTGTAATTCATCAGGGAAAACGATTTGAAGTTTTAAAATGTTCGAACGTTCACTGAATGTTATTAAAACAATGCACTTTGCTGTAATACACGTGTTTCGAATCCTATTTAAACTTACTAATTGCTTCGAAAACTTGTATAAAAAGGGAAAACTATTGTTTGTTTTAGATTATGTGGAAACGTAGGAAAAAACAAATAAGATTTATTTGTTAATTTTAATCAATAAAAATGGAAATTTGTAACTTGAGGTAGACTAGGTTTGCCAACTGACCTTTATTGGAAAGATCAGTTCTTGATTAAGCTGCGTACTTGTTTTTTTTTTTTTTTTTGCTGTATTATGAAGTTAAAAAATATGGCATTTTACTATTATATTGTTGTGTCTACAGAAATATAAATTAAAAAATTACTATTTAGTTTCTTCATGTCCTTTATTGTAAATTGACAGATCTGGTAAACGTCGATTGAAATTGGGTGGATTATACGGTGTCTGGTTTACTTTCTATGATTGCAATATTTTTAAGTTTCAAAATAAAACAAAAAGTCAAATAGTAATCTATTACCTGTTAATGGTACCAGTTGAATTGATTGAATACCAAGTCATATTTGTAAAATCCCAAAATATGAGAAATTTCCTCCTTTTTATTTTTCTATTTTCCAAAGTACCACGTGGTTTAGGTATTCATCTCTATCGTCACACACACGTAATTCGTCGGCCGATAAGCAATTGTTGTAATAGCAGTAGTGGCGGTATGTTGTAGCCGTAATGTGTGGGCGGTGAGTTATATGAGAGGGCCGGTTTTGGAGGGGTCAGGCAAATAAGTAGGTAACTAGCGAAACAGAATTATTATTTGAAGTCTTCTTTCTTTGCTTTTGCGGTGTAAGAAAAAAAATAACAGTTTTATGTAACTTTAAAAGTTGTTGGATAAGTTACCTTTTCACTTTCAAGTTTACTTTTTTTTTTTACTGTCTCTATCTCCCTGTCTCCCTCCATTCGTCCATCTCCCACTCTTTTATATATTATTGTCTTTCTTTTCAATTTTCTTTCTATTTTAATTTTCTTCCTTTTCAGTTGCATCTTTAAAATTCTTTTACGCCAATTTTTATCTTTGCCTTCAACATGTTTTGTCGAATATTTTCACACTCTTTCATTTGTTGTTTCTGTTTACATTTATAAAATATCTGAAATATCTGAAAATATTATATAATTATATCTAAATATTATATAATTATATCTAAATATTATATAATTTATATAATTGTATCGAAATATTAAATATTATATAATTATATCTAAATATTATACAAATATTTGAAAATATTTTTAAATATTTTCCCTTTTTTATTTTCGTTTTTTTTTCGTTCATTTTTCATGTTAACGCATTCCCTGCCTGTTTTGTTTTCGTTTCTCATTTTCATGTCACATATTTTCATTTAACACGTTTCGCTTTTGTTCAAAACATTTTTTACTTTTTATTTCTGTCTTTCAAAAATATCTTTTTTCCCTAAATTCTGTTTATTGTTTTGCATTCTTTTTTCTTCTTTTCTTTGTCAGAATTTTATTTTTTTTTTTTTTACATCTCCTCCCCTTTTCTTTCTTTCTTCCTTTTTGGTCACATTTTTTTCTCTTTCTATTTTACTATTTTTTTCCTTACTTTTATTCTTTGCTTCTTTTTCAGCTTTATCCTCTTCTATTTTTTTTTCTTTTTTACTGATTTTTCTTTGTGTATTTACAATTTGAAAAATGTTTAAAATGTTTCTTTATTTCTTCTTAGCTTTGTTAATTTTTATTTCCTATTTTGTATAACCTCGTTCTTTTTTATTCTTTCTTTCGTTTCTTTATCTTTTTATTCTTTTTCCTTTCTTTCTCTTTTTTCTTTCATTTTCGTTTCGTTCTCTTTCTATCTTTCTTTTTCGTTTCTTGTTTTTTTTTTTATTGCTATTTCGTTTTCTCTTTTCTCATTCTTTTTAATTTATTTCTCTTCCTTTTTTTTCTTTTTATCTTCTTCCTATCTCGCCAATTTAAATAAGTTTTAACTGATTAAATTTTTTTAACTGGTATTTTTCAATCCCCATAATTTATCACTTGGCTATACTTGGTTTTATTTTTAAAATCATCTTTCCTTTAAACTGTTTTTTTACTATTATTATTTCGTAATTATTTTTTATTTCCCTTGTTTATAAATTAATTTCTTTTTATTTGTCAGTCTTTTCTTTCTTTTCTTTTCTCTTCTTTATGTTCCTTTCTTTTTTCTCTCTTACTTTTTTCCCCCCACTGTGCTTTTTCTATATTTTTTTTTCTTTTCGTTTTCTTTTTCACCGCTTTTCGTTTTTGTCTAGTCTTTTTTTTTTGGGGGGGGGTTATTTTTTTACCATTTCCTCCTTAAATAGCTGTTCTTTCGAGATATCTCATCTTCAAAAGCTTCTCTGCACTTGCTTTGACCGAGTAACATGGTAGTTAAATGTATCAAATTGTGAAAAGATCCACTTTATACACTGCTTTCTCGACTGCCTAACTTACGGAACAGTTTGTAAAGCTCCTCATTTTCGCCAAAAGGCAAGACCTCATCTGAAAAGAAAATAATTAAGTGTTATAAATATTTACTACTGTCAAAAGAACGCATACAGTTTTGGCGCGCTGAACGCTTTAACCCAATTACACAAAAGTTTCTAAGACATATAATATTGTTTGCAACGATATTTCAAGGTCAAAGTTCTACCTTAACAAAAGGCTATATCAATGGATTTCTCAATAAATAAAAACAACTTTTTTTTTTTTTTACAGTGATGTTTGCCCTGTACAAGGACTGGAAGCAACTCGAGGTAGAATGTCAAAGAGTTTATACGCATATGTGGGAAGATAACGTTTAACCCTCGACTTGAACTGGTTAAATAATCGGGAAATAATCCTCTTGGGAATCGATTCCACAGAGCAGCGGTCGGCGCGAAGAAGCGGCTCAACTTCTCTCCTATGGAATATGAATGGAATCAGGATCGTTTGCTACAATACGCTTAGCATGGATTCCAGTAATCGAAACGTGCCGGAAGTTTTAAAATTTTAATGCTATTATTCATTAACGACTATATTAATATGTATGTGTATTTTGTTTCTTTTCTAAAAACGTGACAACTACCTAAAATTCTACTTTGTTGAATTGACTTCTGAGGGGATGCTTTCCTGATCACTACAATCTTAATCGATCCAAGTCTTAGGTTAACTGTTATTTTCCCACATATCTTTATAAACTGCACTTCTTACTGGTCAGACAACAACCTCTTTTTTTAGCCTCTACCTCGTGTGGCTCTTGGGCCTTGTGTAGGGTGAAAATTAGTTAAAAAAAAAAAAAAAAGAAGAAATATCAGCAGTGTAAGTTCTAGAAAAGTAATTTGGCTTCTATGGAAAATTTAAAAAAATAAATAAAAATTATATTAAATATAAATTAAATTGAAAAATACCCTTAACATAAGACAAATTGATGATGGCAAGATATTATAGAAGACTCATTGCAAAGGACGACTCAAATTTCTAGAAGCCATTTTAATAGAAAAGAAACAATACACGTCAATTAAAATATCTTTCTCCATAGGACATCATTTAGTGAGTTGCGTATGTTTTAAAAAAAAAAAAAAAAAAAGGGCACATATAAATGCATGGTACTTGCTTTTCATTTTGACCATAGCAGATTACATCACTTTTAACTTCCTTTTTTTATTTTATTTTATTTTTTTAACAGTATTGTTCACCTGTACTAAGCTCGAGAGTCACTCAAGTTAAAGGGTTACAAACTAAGAACCACGGTTTATGAGGATATGTGGGGAATATAACGTTTAACCTACGACTTGAACTGGTTAAGACTGGGAAATAATCGTCCTGGGAGTCTGTTCCACAGATCAGTGGACCGTATGAAGAAGCTGCTCACTTCTCTGCAATGGGAAAGTGACTGAAGCTGAGATAACAGGTCAGGACTAACATTACAGATTTTTTTGGTTTACATGATGAATCTGTAAGCTGGTTTATTTAATAAAACTTGTTTGTACACACACACACACACACACACACACATTATATATATAAAGAAAGAACAGTAAGATATATAATCCGGTGTTCTTATAGATATTTTTATTTTTACAAAATAGTGCTCAAAAAATGGTAATATACTTGATGTGATAATAATTCTACAAACTGTAAGGGATTCTAATTACATTTAATTGTTCTTGAAAGAAATATAGTATATTAAAAATTTAAAGTAAAAATATTTCAAGTCGTAGTTAAATAAAACGTATTCTAACCTAAACACCCCACAAAAATCTTTAGATATACGGAGGAAAAAATGCCGTAAGAATTTTTGCCGTTAACAATAAATTTTTTTAAAAAATCGAGACGACACGCTTTTAACGGATGTTAGATTTCATTGAAAAATACATCCCTACCCACTACCAAAACGTAGCAATAACTGATACATTAAAATATGGACATATTGAACACCCAGACACCCCTCGTCTAGTAAACTGGATTCATCTGTAACCTTGGAAACATGAATTATGTTTTTAGCTGTGTATTTAAAACCCAGTAATTTTAAAAGTTACTCCAAAATTCGCTTGAGGATGAAATGGAACTAATGTCTTTAATTTAATTACAAAATTAAATCCGGGGCTTTTAGCTTCCATTTTTGAAACATGGTTAGAACTGTGTAGCGAAAAAAACCATATTTTAAATCAATTAACTTATATATATATATTAAACTTATTGTCTTTTGAACTTCTGACTGACGTGTTTCACACCAAGATTAAAAATGTTAAACTGTCCAAAGTTCATTTTTATATGTTTGCGTGCTTTGGACTAATACTACAGTCGTTCTCAAGAACATCAAGTAAAAATATCTTTCTCTATAGGACATCATTTATTGATGTGCGTATAAGAAAAGAATAGAAAAGAAAAAAAAAAAAAGTGAGCACACGGCACTTGCTTTTCTTTTTAACCATTGTAGATGACATCACTTTTAACTTCTTTTTTTTTATAGTAATGTAGTGACCTGTACAAAGCACGGAAGCCACTCGAGATAGAAGCTTACACAGTAATAGGCACATTTTGTGCGAATTTGTGGGGAAGATAATGTTTAAACCAAGACTTGAACTGGTTAAGATTGTAATGATCGGGAAGCAATCCTCTTAGGAGTCGGTTCCCCAGAGCAGCGCTACTCATTTCTCTCCAATGGAATACCTAGGGAATGATGGTGATTCGCCACAATGCATGTAGCATGGCGGGTCCTAGCCGTGAAGGTTAGGAATGTAGTTTGTCTGAGCACTTTCCACGGAAGTAGCGATAGAGCAGTGAGGGTCATGCTACATCTCGTCTGTGCGACAGAGGTTGCAGAGTGGAAATAATTTTTCACCCACAAAGACACAGAGACGCTTTTTTGCTCTATCGCGACCGGGAAATGAAGACTGTGAAGCTCCTGCCCAAATATGACAACAGAACTCCATTCTAGGCCTTGATCTGACTCTTGTAAAGGTAGAGGATAGCACGAGGAGTCAAGTACTTGTTGGATCTTTTTCTTGCTTCTTTAGCAATGGATCGTATATACTAGTTCCACTTGAGGTCTGGATTGAGTTTGAAGCCTAATAGTCGCTCAAGGAACGGGGCCTCCCTGGAAAAACAACTATTCATCATGACTGGTGGTATTTCTGGGTCCGATAGATGGAATGTAACTAGTTTGTTTTTCGAGGCCTTGAATGGAATCAGCCTTGTTTTCCCCCACTGAGCTATTCGAGCTCGATCGGAGGAGAGATCAGCTGCCAATTTCTGGTCATCACGAGTTTTGGAGGTGCAGCTATATATTGTTGTATCATCAGCGTAGATATTCACAAATGATCAGTGCATACACTTAGGCAAATAATTTATGTCAAGTAAAAAGAGGGTAGGCATGAGAAGTGTTCCCTGGGGAAAGCCTGCATCGATTTTTAGGGCCCCGGAGGACTGGCCATTAACTATCTGTACTGCTTGTCCCTCAGGAGGCGGTTCTTATTTGTGCCCAATAACCATCTTCAAAAAGCTTGTTGATACTGTGGAAACTGATCGGTCTATACTGAGAAGGGAATAAGTGTTCACACGCTATCTTGAAAAACGGGCACACGTTTCACACTTTATACGGGATGGGAAAGGATTTCTCCCTCAAGCAACGGTTAAATAAATTCGCTAGTTCGAGGAGGCACGGTGGAGTAATGGATAGAGGCTCGGATTGAGGAATCGGACAGCCGAGTTCGAATTCCAGTCGAATCCATTACGTTCACTTACGTGCTAATACCCTTGGGAAAGGTATGAATCCTCGTCTTCTCCTCCCATTTATGGGTAAATAACAGGACAGACTGGGTTCTACAGCCTTGGGTAGCAACTGGTCTACTGCAGAAAGAAATGGCAACATCCTGCGGGAAAAATCTGCCTCGTCAGTCATTTATCGAAAGATACATGATCGGCTAAGCGCGATTCACTCATGGCACATAACTGACTGAGTTCCGGGTTGATATTCTTAAGGACAATTACTGTATTAATGTCTGGCCAGTATCTTTCTTAGGGTCAAGGCTTTACGATAAGTTTTGAGATTTTTCAGGCTGTGATGAAAATAATACTGAGCTTGCGTTCAGTGACCGGGGAAAGTCGTAATTTACTACTTTCAGTGATTATATGTGGAAATTGAAATAAAAATATTAAAAAAAAACATCTTCGTCATATTTATGACGGTTGTGATTTAGACAAAGTATTAGGTTATAGGTATAAAGTAGATGATAATACATTACAAATCTCGTGCAACTATCTAGATATAAACAGTGATACTAAAAGAAAGATTTTGTCTCAGAATTCTAGCGTATTCGACATTTTGTTATTTTTACCCGTTACGATTAAGGGAAGGATACTTTTGGCAAATTTATGAAATGAAATATGATCTTGGGATCAGTTTATCACTGAATAACATCAAAAACTTGGCCCCTTTTAGCTAAAGATTTATTGCAGTTAAATACGATTAAATTTTCTAGAAATACCTTTGACGATTCATTACCTGCCTGCTTAGAAATATATTGCAACAAGTCTAAGACCACGTATGGTTTTGTTGCTTATGTTGTTCAAGAAGTTAATAAAAATTGAATTTTTGCAAGGACTAAGGTAGCACCTACCCTCAAAATATCTTTACCAACTTTGGAGCTCCGAGCAGTTTACCTTGCTATCAAATATCTAAATAATATACATGAAGTATTTAGCATTAAGCATGGGCTATCAGGGATTTCTTCAAAATCAGAAATACAAAAAATTGTACCCACAAGTACAGCCCACGCCATATGAAGTA